CTAGTTAGAATAAGGCCTACCTAAGGTTAGAATATGAGCGAAATCGATTTTTCGACCGTTGCCACAAAATGTTCGATTTTTGCTGACATCCCCTCCTAAAAGTTCGTTACTTAGCAACGCTAGCTCTATTTTGAAAGTGCGCATACGCTAACCGATATTGAGCAAACATGTTTCTCGATGTTCCCTGACAGTTTTGCCACCCTTGGAAACATTTAAGAAAACATGTTTCCTCGTTTTGCCAGGGCCTTAGGATTTCTCAGCCATCCATACGTTCGTCACATAATTCTTCGATTGCAAGTTACGTCGTCGCGGCCTCTCGGGGGAGCGTTGAAATTTTAGCAAAAGATTTCTTATTATAGCATCTATTGTTAACGGCACCAGAATGGCCGCCAGGCTTTTGTCTTTTAACTCTTTTGGGAATGCTTGCAATAGACCGTTTTCTCAACTGGTTGCGTGCGCATCCAACTTGACGGGCCACAAAACTAAAAAATACAAATTGAGTAAAATTGAGAAGACAGTTTTATATTTAAAGAGGAGGATAATCGATTTTATGAATTCTTATAGAAAAAAAATTTCATAGCAATGCATGATACTACTCGTGTTCTGGTATCGTGGCTCGTCAAGTTCCTTAAATTTGGATGCGCACGCAACCTTGAGAAAACGGTCTATACATCGCAGCTTTATTCGACTTGATGGATTAATTTAACGATATGTTTTAACATAACTGTTTTAAAAAAGGTTTTGGGGCTAGCTATGAAAATGGAATGTCCTCTTCTCTCCTCTCCTCTCCTTTCCTCTTTTACATGACTGCCTGAAACTTTCCTCTTAGTTCCACTAGTTTATCAGTGGTAACAGAAATCTTGCTTATTCATTTAGAAAGTAAATAAGCCATTCACAAAAATTTGAAAGTCAAATTTAATTTGCTTCACTGAGTACTAACTGTAAAATTCGAACCACTTCATTAATTTTAATTTGAACGGCGGCTATTGGTGYCTGATGAGAGAACTCTGGTTATTTTAATGATGATATTGAAACAATCTGACAAAAAGCACGTCATATAAAAAACAAGGCATCTTACATATCGTGAAAGAAACTGCTTTTCATTTCAAACAGTCACTGCTACTTTGTTTTGTTTTTAAGCCGAATTGTTTTGCAACTTATTGATTCACAAAAGTTTTCCTTTTTCTCTTTCTAAAACTTTGTCGATATTTATAGTTTATTCTTTTTTGATAATTTATAAGTACCACCTGTCGTGATATCGTCGGTTGACACCGTTGGAAGAAGTAGAAACATCGTTGGGTGCTTTAATATTCAATTATTCAGCGTCTTGCCCCTGTCAAATCGTAGAACAGTAAAATAATTTGCATAAACATTTGTTAAGAGTCACTTGCTCACGCCCTGTGTCGTTTGGCTTTGCACCAAAGAACAGAGTTCTTCCCTATTAGTAGGTTTCTCTGCCGCCTGGCAATGGCTGACGAAATTTCAAGCAGTCCAAAAAGTACCAAAGAAAGCGATGTTCTAATTGAGATGGGGACTCCAGGCGCTTCTGAGCCAGYCTATAAGGGACTTCATTTTCGAGATGGCAGCAGAGCAATACATTATGTGATAGTATACGAACGATGTGAAGCAGATGAAAACAAGAACGAAGAAACCATGGCCAAGGCCACTGCAATGCAGAAAACTCGAGATGATTATGAAAAGGAATTGGCTAGTATAGGGCTTGAGATCGAACGAGATAGCATCACTTGTACAGGGGTAAGGGTTCTATAGTTTAGCTAAAGCGACGCTCAATTAGTCTTACAAGGAGCAATGCTATAGTCTTCTGTCGTCGTTCGGCTGTCGACGGTCAACTTAGCTAACTTGATTTTTTTAACTTGTAAGGAACGCAAAATCCCTAAATAAGTTTGTTGGAACTCTCTGTTTTTATATAAGCATCTATTGACAATTTTTATTAAGAGCCTTCTTTCTTTGGCTTCAGTTTAATTTTCCAATTGCTCGCTCAACGCCTTTCTCCGTCGTTAATGCTATAGGACTTGTCCAAAATCTGCAGATCAACTTTTRTAGTAGTCTGAGTATAAAATTTAAACAAACTGGATACCCGTAGCAATTGATTAATTTAAGCGCGAATATGTTGAGGCTCAAGCCCATCGCTTGTAAAATCTCTGTAAAGTGTTTTATAAGCACATTGAATGTCTTTCATGGTGTTGGATTCAAGTGTCTTCTCACCTATTGAGGTGCTTTTTATAAGGAGCTACCTGGATTCCTTAAACACACAACGGAGATTAACCTTTAGTGAGGATGCATATGCATTATATATATATATATATATATATATATATTTACGGCAACACAGATCAAAAGTCGATTTAACACTTGAAAAGGCAAATTTACCTCGGTATTTTGACCTCGTTTAACATTATTTTATTTACCAGTTAGTCTACTTACAAGAATATGTGATGGGTGGTAGCCTTATCATGAAACAAGTTTATAGCAAATTTAGTTCAAGATTCAACTACGTCAGTGGCAAAAAATTTCAATTCTTTCATGGAAGATTTCTAGAATTGATGGAATTGATCTAGAATACTTGGAGGATTCGCTTTGATGAGCAGAGACTGCGTATTAAAATCAATCAACAATGAATTGATGCTGAATATGAATATTTTCATATAATAAGCCTTTTCATAGTTTAAGAATCGATTCCACTGCGCATGCGATTTTATCCCGAATTTCTCACCTTCTTTTGTTTAATTAAGGACAAAAGAAGGTTTAGACAAAAGAAGGTGAGAAATTCGGGATAAAATCGCATGCGCAGTGGAATCGATTCTTAAACTATGAAAAGGCTTATTACTGCCATTTGCATTGCTACGCGGCCACCCCAGACAATAGACTGCCGTCAATGAAACACGTTGACGTCATTTACATGCGTTTGGATCGGCCCGGATAGGTCCGGTGAGTGTGGCTCACAAAACTTGTAAACAATCGACAAGTTTTGGCGCGTTTTGAATTACACACGCGTGCATATTCTGGATCAATTTTTATAATGAATTTTATTTGGTAAACCCCTTCAAAATTCATACGGTATGCGAGACTATCAAACAATGAGGAAATACAAAAGAACATTTGGCACATATTTCTTTGAGAATCTATTTTCTTCTTTTTTTTT